CAATGTTAAAAAGATAAAGTGTTATTGGTTAGACAAGTGATAAGAAAGATTCAGCCAAAGGGAAGCATAAGAAGAAAATGTTCTTAGGTTTATGCATTCTATGATAATGGTGATTGAATTTTTGTCTAGGTAAATTTGGATCATTTAAAGAAGGCTACTTCTATCTTTTTATATGTAATGAAGTTTTGATATTTTTAGGTGGAGAGGGAAAGAGGAATTACTGTTAAAGCTCAGACAGCAACTATGTTCTACAAGCACAAGGTTAATGGCCCTGGCATTGACGAAGCTGATGAACCATCGAGTTTCTTACTGAATCTTATTGACACTCCTGGTCATGTGGATTTCAGCTATGAAGTGTCAAGATCCCTGGCAGCTTGCCAAGGTGCTCTTTTGGTGGTGGATGCTGCTCAAGGTGTACAGGCACAAACTGTGGCTAACTTTTATCTTGCTTTTGAGTCTAACCTGGCTATTATACCTGTCATAAACAAAATTGATCAGCCAACTGCTGATCCTGATCGTGTCAAAGCTCAGCTGAAATCAATGTTTGATCTTGAGCCTAGTGATGCCCTTTTAACATCCGCTAAAACAGGGCTAGGTCTTGAGCATGTCCTTCCTGCAGTCATAGAGAGGATACCTCCCCCTCCCGGGGTTGTAAAGTCAACTTTGCGTATGCTTCTGTTGGATTCTTATTATGATGAATACAAAGGAGTAATTTGCCATGTTGCAGTTGTTGATGGTACACTGCGCAAAGGAGATAAGATTTCATCTGCTGCAACTGGCCACACTTATGAAATTCTGGACGTTGGAATCATGCATCCTGAACTCAAACCTACTGGAGTACTTCTAACCGGGCAAGTGGGTTATGTTGTGACTGGCATGCGTTCAACAAAGGAGGCACGTATCGGTGACACTTTACATCACAGTAAGAGCACTGTAGAGCCTCTTCCAGGTACATAATCATGTTTTCCTCCGCATAACATAATCTGTACTTCTATTTCCAGCCACTTGCAGAGTTTTTCCCTGTCAGAAAGAGATTAAGAAAGAGATTATTCTCTAGCATCAGGCTTTCTATTTTGCCACCATGCTTTCCTCTTTTATATATAAATATGTTTTAAGAAGATAGATAGAACTGTGATTATTTTGGCTGCTTTTTTTTGTTTTTTCTTTAAAGTAAATATTTATTCAGATGTTCTAGATGCAGGGACCTTACTCCTTAATTTTTGTTTGGGCCTTTCATTTTTAACTTTAATGAAGTAGTTCTTGCTGCAATGGCCCTGACACTTTTCAATTTTGTATGTGCTCTTTTGCACCTCCTGATTTCTAGGTTTTAAACCTGCAAAGCATATGGTGTTCTCTGGTGTTTATCCTGCTGATGGATCTGATTTTGAAGCTCTCAATAATGCAATAGAGAGACTTACCTGCAATGATGCTAGTGTCTCTGTTACCAAAGAGAGCAGCACAGCGCTTGGACTGGGTTTCAGGTGTGACATCCTCAATGGAATGGTTCATTTTCTTTATGTAAATCAAAAAACTACTTTGATAATTATTAGTGATGTAACTAATTATGCATGGACATTAGTTTTGTCTTATGGATTGTGCTTTATTGACAGGTGTGGTTTCTTAGGCTTACTTCACATGGATGTTTTTCATCAGCGACTTGAACAGGTATTTTTTTCTCTTTTATGTTTGCAATTGACTATGGAACTCTGCCTTGGTGCTTATTTTTTACGGTTTCTCAGTTGAAGATAGATTACTTGGAGCATGCATTTAGGATCACAATGTTGTGATGTCATGAAAAATTGATACTTGAAGGCATTTTTGTGGTTCAGTAGTTGTCTTCTCCTTATGTTTCCTTCTCACTTGGTCAATAACATCGAAAATGCATGGAAGTTCAGCTAAACTAGTAAAAATGTCTTGTTTCTTGTGTTTACTGTGGCAAACATATGTGCATAAATACACAGATCTTGTCATGTACTCTTTGTACCATGTTGGATCTCTTTGTCTTCTTGTTTCCATGCAACACGGTGTTTTGACTATGTTTAAGGACACAACCAATCATACACCTAAAATTGGCTTAGTGATTCTGAAAGTGTTTGCTTGTTCTCTTTTTCAGAAGAAAAAGAAAAACAGAAATATTTGCTTATACTTATCACCCCTCAATTAATATAGGAGTATGGAGCACACGTCATTTCAACCGTTCCCACTGTTCCTTATATATTTGAGTATTCTGATGGGAGGTACGTCTTGTAGTTTTGCTTTATAATTTTGTCATTTACTATGCTTTACCAAACACTAGTCGGTGATTTTTAGCAAAGTAGAAGTTCAGAATCCTGCCACACTGCCGTCTAATCCCAAACAACAAGTCACAGCTTCTTGGGAACCTACAGTATTAGCTACAATTATCATTCCTAGTGAGTAAGCTCTCATACTCCCTTTACTTAATAACTATTATTGCACCATGCAAAACGTTTATTCATCCTGTGCTAATTTGTTATATGCTTCAAGGTATGTGGGATCTGTTATTACACTGTGCTCTGAGAGGAGAGGACAACAGTTGGAGTACTCATTTATCGACAGGTTGGTGCCAGGCCAGATGGTAGTCCTTTTGAAATTCTTATGTTATTGTCAATTGTTCTTAATGTTTCAGTTAACCAATGAGAATTTGTAAATAAAATGCAAATACTAGGTTTTACTGGTCCTTTATATACATTGGTCTCACCTTGATTAATATTTGTTGCTCATTTTGTCAGTTAATTTTTCCATGTTTCATATATACCCGTACATGAACTGTTCCGCAGCTAAAATGTTGATCTTTTGAATTTCATATATGCAGTCAACGGGCCTTTATGAAGTATCGCATACCTTTGAGAGAGATTGTTGTTGATTTTTATAATGAATTGAAGAGTATAACATCAGGTTATGCATCATTTGATTATGAGGACTCAGAGTAAGTTCTCTCTCCCTATCTCTCTCACGCACACACACAAACATGTGCATATGTGCACCCACAAACACAATCTGAATCATAAAGCCTGGCACCAGCCGGAGGATGTGATATTCTGGTTCGTATTCTAATGTTTGGGGGAAGTTGCAACTTTTTTTTATTACTACTGGACTGCTGGGAGTTGTACTGACTACTTAGAAATTCACACCCTTGGATAGCCTATCTTATGCCGCTTGATAAAACTGATTTTCTATGAAGCCTCCCAATAGACTTTCTTCATATTTGGAGTCATGTCTCAATGTGATTCATCATTAAGATAATTTCTCATTTCTTCAGAAGGCAGTCATTTTAGATGCTTTGATGGAACAATTAGAATTTTAGTTTTACTCTTCTTTGACACATACTAAGTGATGTTGTTAACAGATATCAAGAATCTGATTTGGTGAAACTTGATATCCTCTTAAATGGACAACCAGTTGATGCAATGGCAACAATTGTTCACAAATTAAAGGCACAACGTCTTGGTCGTGAACTGGTGGATAAGCTGAAGAAATTCATAGACAGGTCTTTTCATTGAAAGTTTAAATTGTTGATTTCTTAGTCTATTTTCTTCTTCCATGGTAACCCAGTTGATTTTACCTTAAGCAGGCAAATGTTTGAGATAATCATACAAGCCGCAATTGGATCAAAGATTATTGCAAGGGAAACGTATGTGATGCAAACTTTTCCTTTTGTTGTCTGTAGTTTGTGAGTTTCATGCTCGAGTTTTTGGTATATGATTGTAGTATTATTTTGATACATGATCTCCAGCCGAAAGCAGAATATTTTGCATATTAATTTCCTCTAGTCTTCCTTTGTCACCAATAAATTAGTAGATGTTTTCATTTTAAGGTTGTCTATTTCTTTTTTGCCATTATTGGACATAATTACAGTTCAGCTAAGTCTCTTTGTGCTGGTTTTTAGGCTTTCGGCTATGAGAAAGAATGTTCTTGCAAAGTGTTATGGTGGAGATGTTTCTAGGAAGAGGAAGCTGTTGGAGAAGCAAAAGGAAGGAAAGAAGCGAATGAAGCGTGTTGGTTCAGTCGATATACCTCAGGAGGCTTTCCATGAACTATTGAAGGTTTCATAGAGAAAATTTCTCAAACAACCAGCCAATTTTTTTAAGGATGCTGGTAAGGTTATATGAACTTGTAATGTTTTCAATTCTCTATTTTATCATTTGCCTTACGACATATATAATGTTTGTAATATGACATTCAAATTTTCATATTCTGTTCTTCCAGGGTTGCATGACTCATACAAATTTCATTACCCTGCTGAGGTGCCTAGTCTCTCTTAGCTTGTGTTTAGGAGTTTTGCCATGAAAGCTTCTTGGAAAGAGTTATTGCAGTTTCATCACTGCGGCGTGGAGGTTGTTGGATAACTACACCTGGTGATTTGGTATGGATCTGTCTTGCAGAAACAACCATATTTATTAATGACTAACCAGCAACAATTTTGCTTATGAATTGTGTAACAGCAATGTAATACCAACAATAATGAGGTGTAGGCTAAATTGCCATATTTTTTGGGATTACTTTGGTGGGACTGAAATCTCACCATTAATTCATTGTTATACTCTCATATCATATGTAGTAGAATAATATGATTTGTTCATAATAATACCAACAAAAAATGGCTTTAAATCTCCAAATGGCAATGTTTTTTAAAGTCAACATTTTATAGAGCCTCTCTATAGAAACTTAAGTTCATCTATGAACAATTCTCCCCTGTTAGTTGACGAAGACCTCAAGTAGATGCAGATTATTACAATAAATTATCTTCCACATTGTCAATGAAACAATAGAATATAGATTCAGTTAAGTGTATGACTGTATCATCAAGAAATCTACCACGAGAGTCAACTCTGTTGCTTTTTCATCACAATGAATAAAAAAAACAAAATAGATTGTGTACCAAGGCAAAACATGACTAATTAAAGATTGCTGATCTCATGTATAAATATTCCACAATAAATATCTAAAAAAAAAAAAAAAAAAAAAGGGAGGAAATTACACTTTGATCTTCATCATTATTTCACATGGTATGAAGATTTACAGTTTAATTTAACAACATCAACTGCTCTGATCTTTGTTATTGTGAATTGGGTTAGGGGTACTGCTACTCTTAAAGATTGGAAATTGCAATGAAGATTGGAGCAAATTTGGTGTTTCAGAGTTATTTGAAGATGACAACCCATTGAAGTAGCTTGATGCACAACCCTTTCCATTTTGATTTATCAAATTCTGACCAACAATATTCTCCCCTCCTCCACTGTGTTGATCACCATTATTACTATTGCCTCCAACCATTGTTGACAATGCAGCAGCTATCACTGATCGAAAACTCGGGTTTGATGCAATAGCCTTGGTTAAGGTCTCTGCTAAGGCCTGTTGAGATGCAGCTGCAACTTGCTGGTTTTTATTGTCCGTGAAAGATTGAAAATTAAACTGTTCTTGGGATGGTTTTCCTAGATTTAAAATGTTCCCACTTTGAGTTTGATTGTTATAAGGCAAAGTATTGCCATTATAAGCATGGTATCCATTTCCCCAAAGTGTTGGCAACATACTGGATTCTGATGAGGAAGAAAAGTTGAGACTTGTTGAGGGAAATCTTGGGGTTGAAGAGAACCTATTATTAAAATGAGAGAATTGAGACGATGGAGCCGTGAGGTCTAGAGTGATTGTTGGGAACAAAGGTGAGGAATGGTTTGGAGTGTAGAATTGATTTGTTCTTGAGGTGTCGAAGAGAGTACTAAGGTTCAATCCATTGGGTGCTGAGGCAGCAGTGGTGGTGGCTGTGGAAGTGAGGCCTGGCTGAGATGTCGATGAGCCTGATAATAGCATAGAAGCAGCGGCTGAGGTGGTGGAAGCCATGGCTGTGGCTGAAACTGGTAGTGGGTGGTTGTGAGTTCCCTCATAGGTTGTGATCAAAATAGACATATCGTCAACAAATCTTTGCACCTGAAATCATGAAAAGAAAACACATTCATGTCAATTCATTTACAATATTATCTAATCAATTAAAATATTATAATATTACTGTAAAATATTTCGAGATTCCAATTCAATCAATAGTTTTTGATTCGATAATGTTATCAGATTGATACCTGCTTTCTTACAGGACATCCGGGGGCAACAGTGCAACGATAATAAGCTCGTGGACATGGATTTCCTTTTGCAATTTTCTGTCCATATTTCCTCCATTGGCACCCATCATTCATCTGTATATATATGCAAACTACATGCCTTTAGATTGAATTCTGAATTATCTCATCACAAATAATTTAAAATGAGTTTTTAATAAAAGTTTCAGATATGAAGTAATTTAGTTAAATTAATGAAAAACTAACCGTGGGGGTGTCACATCTGGCTCTCACAGAAACCCTAGCTCTCTTCACAGGGTTTTGTTGTGAAGCTTCATCATCTCCATTTCTCATCGTCTTCAACATCTTACTGGGAGGCCATGTTTCTCCAGCCGTTGCTTCCTTTTCATCATGATCCTTCGGCTCTTCAGAACTATTCTCAGGACTGATATGGGACGTCGACGTCAAAAGCTCTAGAGAAGGTTGAAATTTAGAGTCCAATGCGAGACTCAAACTGGCCTTCAACTCTTCTTCTTCCCTTGTACTTTTGCTTGTTTTCTCTTCTTTTTTAGTCTCACTTGCAGCACCGCTACTGCTTCTTCCAAGACAAAGCGAAACAAGTTCAGGCTCCATGATTGTTTCATCATTCGAAGGAGATGGATTATGTTCAGTCACTGGTTTCCTGGAAGGCTCTTGTTGTTGCAGTATGTCAAAGAAACGCAACTGGAGAGACTTGTAATCCTTCGCCACTCGTTCCAACATCGTCCTCAATCTCTCATTCTCTTCTCTCACCTCTCCCATTTCAGCTTTTGCTGATTCAATCTCATCCTCCTACAGATTTTCAACAATGAAAATTCATCTTAACATAAAAATTTTATTTGACTAAAAGTCAACATGTAATCAGATCTAACAAAAGATGAAATTTACATGGGATTGTCAAGATCTAGGTGGAAAATCGAGGGAAAAATCAAATAGAAAGTGATTAAAACAAAAAATTGTGTGATTAATTAATTGGATTTCTTTCCTTTATAATTATCACTTATTTGCATATATATATATATATGGTAATTGTTATTGGAAATAGTGTTCTGGTCAATAATTTGTTAATTATTTTTCTTTGATAATTAAAGTGTTTGGACCAGTTTATATCCACCTCGACTATTCTTCAGGAAAATTATCATACAACAATCCACCGTCGTGAATTGTGGGATAGCTTCCCAAAATAATTTGTTAATTACTGTGATTGTAACGAAAAAATTTAGAGGAAAAAGGAGATTAAAATGCATATTTAAATTAAGTATATAAATATTATAAAACTACCTCTTTGCTGTTTGCTAAGTCCTCATCTTTGGATGAAGATAATCTCAGACCATTGTCTTCCTTGATTTGTCCTCCAAGTTCAGCCTGAAATAACAATCATACTATGGCTTAGTTTTCATAACAGTAAAGGAGAATTTTCATAGAACTCATCATTCCATGTCAATAGATTACATGATCTTCAAGAAAAAGAATGATTAAACAGGAGAAAGATGAAGAAGAAAAACAAAATTTCAGTACCTTTGGAGGTTCTTGACTGCAACCCTCATCATGGCTGAAAGATTCAACGCTCTTTTCTTCCTTAACCATACCTCTAGAGCTAGTCATTTTCATTAAAACATCCATTGAAGCTTTACAGGAATTCCCTTACTTATAATACAGTCATGGCTACCTTTTCTCTCTTTCTTTAACAATTATTATATTACCACCCCATTGGTTTTCTTGACTTAAATATTAACCTATTCAAATCTCATTCATCCAGCCATCTCTCGTTTCGCAGACAACACATAAATACAAAATGTCAACTGTTCTAAAGGTATTTTATTATCCTGTTATTAAACTATTGGAGAAGAATTCAACTTGAACCTTTCACAGTTAAGACAGGGGAAAAAGTTTGAGCTGAAACTGCGGGCAAAGTATTGTATTTCTATTATTGAACAAATCTTTGAAGCTTCGTACCAAGACGACGTCACATGGCTAAGAGTCAATGGTGTTGAGCTAGGTAGCCATGGATGTATGGCCACCGGGTCAGCTTTAATTGTTTCCTTCAATGGTGCAGCCTTGTTTGGCTGTCAACTTCGCGGTCAATACGCTTCTTCAACACGGTGTGATCACACTGTTCTGCATGTCCATGCCATTGACCTAAATCTCCTGCTTTACATTTATCATTATTAATATTCAATTTCCATACATATGCATAGACTTTCTGATATCGACGTTCTCGCCTTAACACAAATTATAAAAAGGACAAATGGTAACTTTTATATACAGGATAATACGTAGATGTATGCTGTAAAACCTGACAAATTGTAACTTTTATATATAAACAGGATATGTAGTAGATGAGAAAGTCTTCCAAACATGTTATATTACACCAGCACTCAATAAACAATGTCACCTCAAAGCAAGTAGAATACACACTCTCTCATGCATAATATATACCATAAACGGGTTTGGATAGAATTCACTTCTAAAACTAAATTTAAGGGGAGAGGAAACTCAACCACATATATACACCATAACAGTCTATTAAATTAACGATTTGAGACAAATACAACTTTTAAAAAAAAAAAAAAATTTACCTATTGAAGTAAAAACGAAAAAGAAAGTGAGTTAAAAACTAAAATGTGTAGCTTTCATTGTGAATTTATTATATTAATTAACAAGTCGTAATTATTTATATATCTTACTCCTTGATGATGCAACCGGACCCTGTAAACAACAGTTATATCTCAATCCGTGATGAAAAATATTTAGGACCTAGTAAACGATCGAAGAGGTTGATTATTTATTTTATAATAAAGTTTAATTAATTTTTCTTTTTTAACAGAAAGTCCACACCAAATATCAATCGGGGACACCTCATTTAATATGTACCATTTTTAATTTTCTTTTAACTTTTAAGATTTAAACAGATGATTATGATATTTTTATACTAATCACTTATAAGAATTAATTGAGATAAGTGTATATTAATCTGATCACACTGTTTAAAAAAAAAAAAAAAAAAAAACTTATGTGTTTGCTTGTTGTATAAATACAAAGGATTCGTTCAGTTTTCGATATAGATTTTTAATATCTCCATATTATCCACTTTTGATTAATAAATTAACCCTTTTAAGTTTAATTAATCTTTGCGAATATCCTATTTTTATCTCGGGATCTGAGTTAATTATTTAATTTAATCAAATTATCAACTTGTAGTTGTATCATGCATTTGAAATCTATGAGATGACTGTGGATTATTAAACTGAAATTACGAACCTTAATCAAATATAATTAAAACTAACGTATCTTACTTGAGTACTATATAGTATATATCATTAACTACTCGCATGACTTGGAGGATTCGTATTGTATAATGATCTCCTAGGTCAAACATGGTGGCAATGAGCCATTCTGATATATTCATCCTGTTTAATACTTAATCTTCTAATTAATGACTTAATTATGGCGAAGAGCCATCACAATTAAACAATGTTACATACATCTTAGTCTTCGAAATTAGGTATTTAATCAAAAGTTAATTCAACTTTGGGTAACTCAAACGGTGGAACAAGCATAGGGATGTGTGGTTAAGATGTGGTCTCATATTTAAATCTCTTTGTTTCTCAAGATTTAAGCGGATGATGTGTTAGTTTATAGGGAGTATTCGAAGTATGCGCAAGCTGACTCAAACATCCTTGTTGATGTGTGATTTTGACACCAACTAAACACATATGAGAAATGTTAAGTAGACTCAGAAGACACACGTGTACGGGGGTATTGAACTGAGTGAAAGATGGAGAACGGTGTTTAAAGTGGATCGGATGCTTAAATAAGCGGATCCTACATCCACTGGTATCGTATTAATATATGAGATCAGGTCACGTTCAGCGAGCTGATTTACAAGAGATTATAAGAGAGAGAGAGAGAGAGAGAATATATATGTTATTCCAGAGAGAAATTAGCTACTCCCACAAACGGGAGAGGAACCCTCCATTTATAGTGGGATGAATTGAGGTAATGATTACTAAATTAGAGGGTGGGTCAGATTGCCGTGCAAATCCTTCATTGCGTCCCGTTATTCACCTACTCGAGTGATTTACTCGACTCTTGCAGGGTTTGGACACGTGGATCGCCTCCAGTCTTTCACCAGTCCGGCGCACACCTATTGCACTAGCAGGAGCATGCCGCTTGCGTCAATGTACGACGTGACTGCGTCTGAATAGCTATTGGACTTACCTAAGCTCTGACCACTTACGCTGACAGGGCTCTGCGTCAGCCCTACTTTTTTAAGCATAATAATTCTATTTCAAAAAAAAAAATTAAAACAACTAATTATAATAATAGTTAAGACGTAATTTTTATGTGATAACTGCATAATGTTTATTCCGACGCAAGACATTGTCATTACAATCTGCCATATATTGTTGACCATGGAACATCTCTCGTGAGAGCCAGTTATAATTTTGATTTCTGACCTAAGTAGTAAGTCCTATATTAAGTAGAGTTTTTATTTTCAAATTATTGAGTGTTTAAAACGTCATTATGAGTCAGAAATAATGCAAATTAAGTAGTGTAAATTCCAAGCTTAGACATTAATCAGACAAAAAAGGATGAAGGGTCAGCACGTCTTTGCACTTATCTTCATTAAAATCAAAGATATTGACCTCAACTTTTCAAATGCTATATAAAACCCCATTTCTTGTCCCAAGGCTTTTGCAAAGGCAAAATATGATCGTATAATTAAAATTATTAGTGTTAGTATTAAGCATCTATATCAACCATTATAATATTTTATTTATCAATTCAATCTTGTACATTAATTAATATATCATTCATATTGACAGACGGTGGTCCACTCAAATAGGTTATATTCTAAGACTTGAAATTGATTTTTTAAGTCTTGCTAGCTAGTTGCTATCCACACAAGACTTTGAGGCCAACTGGGGATTAATCTATTCATTTAGGTCAATGGTTTAGATTAGCCATTGAATTGATTATTTGAATATGGGATTCTGATCATCTATATAATTATATTTGTATGCTTCTATATGATTAACATAACATCCCACCGTCATGATCATCCGCTTAAATCTTGAGAATCAGATGAATTCGAATAGGCATAGCAATGTTCTCTGGAATTCTGGGGACCCGTCCCGCCTCCCCCATATGGGGCGGGGAATCCCCGGATTTTTCAGGGATAGGGGTGGGTAATACCTTTCCCCCGCCCCGCCTTATATATAATATATAAAATTATATATATATATGTGTGTGTGTATACACTTTTCACTAATACCTCTATATTTCACCTAATTACACAATTATGCTACTTATATAAACCCATATTTTTCTAATTTCCCTCACCCTAAACAATTGAACAAGAACAAACCCTAACTCATATTTATGTATAATTAATTATGTTTAAATTATTAATTTAAGTGTTTGTCATGTAAACGAGAATTAACTATTATGTTTGATAATGCTCAAATCAATTTATGTTTATATAAAATTAATGGGGCGAGGACAGGCCACCAACATTCCCTTTTGCGACAGGAAAGGGGAATTCCTGTCATCCTCGTAACGGAGATGAATACAATGAATGAGATCTCCGTCCCGTCCCACCCCAACCTATTGCCATGCCTAAATTCAAACCTGAAACCATGCATCTTAATCACACCTCTTAATGCTCATCCTACTAATGGAGTTACCCAAAAATAGGTTTTTTCTATATTTATACGGTCCGGATATCCTGAAGTTTTAAGGTGAGCACCCAGATGTTAATTTCACGAACCCAAAAATCAAAGCTTATGATTAGGCGTTCACCTTTGGTTTGCATATTGAAAATTTTAGGACATCAGCACTTCAAAATTTTCAACCAGACTGAAGTAATAAAAAATAAATAAACACGACAAAACTGACCAAAAACGTGTTAGTTTAAGGTATCTTTTCTATCTACCAGCAACCGAATGATGTTTGCTTTTTAACAATCTCACGTCTCGAGACTCTGAACTAAACCCAGTTCATACCGTAAGATTTTTTATCTCTCTTTGATTGAAAATATGAATTGACTCTTGAGTAAGACATGTGAGTGGTCGGTCGGTCACCCAGTTCGTCAATTTTAATAATTATTCTTAGCATGTGGTTGGAACAATTTAAGAAGAAGAAAGAAATTAAGCTATAGTTAGTCAATCATTGAAATTTCTACTGAGATTCAGTAATATTAGATTAAGGACTCTCAATGATGGTTCTTCTGACTAAGAACAGTTATTCTCAGGTATGGATATCCGTATATCAAATATGATCGATACAACGTTTGTGTTAATTCGTATAGATGAATCAATTGTGGGGTCGAGGAAGAGGGGATCCGGCGAGGAATGATCGGAACAGTGTGAGGGCTTGTGAAGGAGATGTGAAGGGGACTTCATGAGCTGCTCCTCTGACTGTTGCAAATGTCAAATATGTCATGTTTTTGCCCTCTCTGAATGCTCCAAATGACTCTGACCATCCTCCCACCTGCAAATATGCCATGTTCATTTTAACATTACCGAGTCAGAAACAATCCAAATCCATCAATAAAATGGACAAAGCATGTCAAAAATTAATCATTTTAAACATGAAATTAAAGGGGTTTTACAGTTTGACGCACCTGTTTTTTATCATACCAAGGACCATAAGTTGTGTAAGGAAGCAGCTTCAACTCCTTAGACAGATTATTAGCAATTATCCTCGTTTGAGTTAGAGGGATTTTTGTATCTTGGTCTCCACTGAAGAAAGCGTGAAAAATTTCATACAACACTTTAGTTCAACATTGAATATATTTAATGTCTGCACAAATATAAAGAGCTGGAACTAATTAAAAACCTGAAAAGCATGATGGGAATGCCTTGCTTGATAAGCCCTGAGATGAGTGGTATAGTGTTGATTAAAAAATTATCTTCCTGATAAAAAAGAGGCCTGCAAAACACTTGTTATGTTATACACAGAATGTATTGTTTAAAATTAGAGAGAGGGAGTAGAGTTAGAGTTAGAGAGTACCCTCCACAAAATGCCCAGTGGAAAGGTAGGTGAGTTTTGTTAGCATGAAGTGCTTCTTGAACTTCAGGCTTGTTGAGATAAGCAAATATCCTATCTCCAAGGCATGGATCACCTTTAGCTGACGTCCTCCTAGCCATCTGTCCAAAGATTTGAACTTTAGTTCTAATATCATGTTTTTTAGATCAATACTGGCGCAACATTAATATTTAAGTCTAATAAATGCAGGTTGGAGTTACCGCGGCATGTACTTTCCCATGCTTGCCCATGGGTTTGAATTGCTGAACTGAGTTTGAAGAAGTGCACAAGGGCAATAGCAAATCACTGCGATCTATATCAGCACCAACTTCATCTGCAACTCTGTTGAACACATCATTGCATCCCTGAGACCATTTATCATGAAAATACTCATGGAGATACCTCGAGTCATTGCACACAGTCTTCTCCAACATTAATGTTTCGTCTGATATTGCCCCATGTGCCCACAAGTAATCTCCAGCCAACACACTGATGTCCGCGTCCAGAAGTGGATTCCCAAGCTACAAACAGTGAAAGAAAAATTGAATTGAATTTCAACAGATTAACTCCGTAAAGAATATGAATGAATCAATGATTAATAGTTGTTATACAGCAATGGCTTTGAGCTTAATGGCGGTTATGTTAGGCTGCTTATTGTACTCCATTATCAAGGCTGCAAGCTGTGGAATATAGTGGCCTGAAATTAAAATCTAAACATATCAGAATTACTTCAGAAGTTGATCTTCAGTTCACACATCTTTATATGTATAAATTACCTGCATAGCTTTCTCCAGTTAAAAAGAATTCAGAATTCTTGTACTGTGGAAATTCTTCCAACCATTTCACAATAAATCTCAAATTATCCTCGGCTGCAATTTATGACACAAAATACCCACTTTATGAAATTTACTTCACAAATGGCTAAACATAGACGCTCCAATCAAAGAAAATGGGTTACCGGTCCTGGTATCATTCCAATTTTCGTAATTTGAGCTTGTGTTTGAGTATGAAAATCCAACCCCAATTGGTGATTCAACATATAACATGTTCGATGCTGCACTGAATAAATGTCCACGTTAAAGAATGACTATAAAAATTAATGTGAAACAATTTATAATGTATCTTACCCAGGTTCCATGAATACTTATTCTGAATGAGCTCTCCATTTGCTCCTGGTTGGAAAGGGCCATGTTCCATGAACGCACCAAAACCAAGAGAAGAACAGCCAGGACCTAGAGAGAGGGTGAATTTCAAAAATAATGTGACAAAAGTTGTGAAAAACTGTGAACATGAAAAGAATAAAAAACAAACCTCCATTGAGCCACAAGGTCAAGGGAAGTGAAAGAGGGTATGGAGATTGAGCTTCCACAAAGTAATAAAACAAAGCTCTGCCATCTTTAGCATCTGTCACAATGTTACCAGAATACTGCTTGAAAGAAACATTGGCGGGTTGCCCTGGAAGAGCAGTTATGAGCTCCGCACAAGACTTGGAGTAGAAAGAAAAGAAAAGCAAAGAGAATAAGAACCAAAAAGCCATGAGAGAGGAGTTACAGAAAGAGGGATAACTCTCATAGAGTCATTATATATGTATATATAAGAGTTGAACTCGAACAGCATTGTTGAAATAGTGTATTGCATTTTATGGACGGTTTTGGTTTCGTTTGAATCAAGGCAAATGCGTACCTAAAAAATTTAAAGTTTTGTTTTGTTTTGATTTGATTTGATTAATTACTAGGCAATGCATGTTAATTGCCGGCTTGGTGATTTGTCTAATCTGCCTGGAAATGATGTGATGGTATCAAGAATTGGTTGGTGACTTGGTTCAGTATAGTACCTGATGAACAGAAAATTTCAGAATGCTAAACAGCTAGATATAACTATAACCCTAGTGGATAACAGGTTAAAGTTTGCTCCTAGATAAATGAATAATACAGTACAGTAGAGTATTAAGACTCCCTTCATTCTAAAGGGTCCATTCAGTGTAAGAATCCATAATTCTAGGGATATGCTTAACCTGATTCCAGGATATTAATCAATCACCTAGTTATCTTCATTTTATTATATAACCACGTTTGTGTAACACTTCTATTTAGTTCTCTCTTTCTCTTCTTCTTTATCCCATCATATTTTTATGGTATAATTTTTTATTGACAGACAAATGGAAACTCACATTCTCTTTGATCTTGTTATGTCTGAAAAATAAAGTGCTGACGTAAGGTCTAATCAGTGTACAAAAATTAGAACATGAGTATACTCGCAGCCTATTTCTGTCAGAGTAGTGGGTGCGTTCCAGACCAGCCAGAAGCTGTGATGATTCCACATGTCCAATCTCTGCGGTAACTCGCGCAAATCACTCTAGAAGGTGAGCAATGTGACATAAAAAAGGATTTACACGGATAATTCCACCAACTCATAGATCCAATAATCATTAGCTCAATGCATTCCACTATAAATTGAGAGCTCCTCTCTCATTCAGGGGATTCGCCTATTTTTACTTTTGATTAGTTATTCTCTTTGTAATACAAAAGCATTCTCTTTCTTGTATTATCACTTGAAGGTCAGTCAGCTCACGCGACTTGACCCCTATCATTAATAAAATCACAGTGGACATAGGACTTGCTTCATTAGCATCCGAACCACTTTAAAAGCTGTTCCTATTTGTAGTTACTCTCATATTTCATTATATTCACGTGTGTCTTCTGGACCAGCTCAGTATTGCACACGTGCGTTTAATTGGTGTAAAAATCACGCATCAACAGATCTATTAATGATAACTTTGTGTACATCGATCTTTTGGTGTTTACTTTCGCTAAATTCTCATCAAACAAGAAATTTTGGAGTTATTTTATGTAAGTTGCATGTACAATCCAAGTTTTCTAAGAAATATCAATTGAAGTATAATAAAATACCAACTGAGTTAATATTGCTCATACAAAGAAGAGATGAGGCTGGTACAATAGCAACACGTCAACCCTTGTTAAAAAGTTTAAAGTTATTATTCTTAAACAGCTTTTAACCCAATGGAAATATGGAATCACCTATAAGGCTATAACTCCACAAAAAGTAAGTTTAACCTCTTTAAAATTCACCTTCATCAAGTTGTCTCTAAAAGGACCAACATCCAACCTCTGATGGAATAGAGAAACACAGCCTAGTTAGGCAATCTGTTCATAAAATGATGATCCCCAAGAACCAACTGTTCAGATATAATAAAGACATCGGAAACATAAACTTACTTCTGTTACTAAAACAGCCCACCAGCAATGGTGTTACTGTCCATGACAAAAGTTCAGAAGGGTTCAAACAAATAGGAAATTGTTGTTAAAGTTCATGTCTGTTGTTAAAGTTCATGTCCCAAAAGCACCAAACAGCTTGTTCTGTCTTCCAAGTTCCTCAGCCACCAATTTGAGTTCATTTTTGTGTAACACAGGTCATTCGGCATCGATAACGTGATTCAATCCCCAATAGCCACCATGAGTAAACAAGGTCATGTCATTCAACAGTACGTGAAACAATTCAGTTTAGAATTGAAATATATTTTCTGATACTTTTTCTTTTATCCGTTTATGTACATATCTGTCATCCATGTCATGGAAACTGGAGAAATAGTTCGAGAAAAGACAGCTCATTGAGAAAAGACAAAAGAAGATGATGATGCAGAAAAGAAAAAGTGCACTTTTAACATTTACTCATTCATTGAGCTACAACTTCTTCCGGTGCACACTTACAACACTTCTCTTTTCGTTACTTTTTTTTTTCTTTTTTCTTTTTTTCCCTTTTATGTACAGAACTGTAGAATGAAAAAGCAGCAACAAGTGCCTCATGACCCACCAAATGAAAAAAGAAAAAAAACTGAGAAAGAAGAAACAAACACATAAAAAGAAAATGACAGAAAAGTTCTAAGCTGCACAGAACTGGAAGCAGCCATTAACAACATGGAAGGAAAGATGTAGACAACCAGATCAATGCTCCACTATCGCTGGACCTCTGTATAGTGCTCCAACTACAGCCAAGTCTTCAGGTTTCTCCCTCTCTTGAAGCCATGCATAACCTTCTTTTTCCTCTTCCGGCACTGATACACCATCAGCTGGAATTTCAAGACCATATGGCCTATATTAATTGTTCCTGTAAATGGATTGATAATGGTAAAGTTGAATGTGAAGGAGCAAATGTCATACCTGAAAACTTCGTGAATGGAAAGTCTAAGTAGTATGTGCACTGCCGGCCATCAGGATCGGAATATGGAGGACCAAGCACATCCAGCACTGCACAGGCTGTCACTGCGGTGAAGCAGTGCATGTTGCCTCCATCAGCAGGATAGAGAATTGAGGCGTTGCAAGGGGCAGTAAAGTCAGAATCAACCTTAACCTTTGCCAACCGCATTTCAGGATGTTGAACTGCTTTAAGCAAAAAAAATCTTTCCAATTAACAAACTATGGGCATCATTATCAAAAGAACTAGAAATCAGGTTTCAGCAGTATTTGACACCCTGGATTTTTTCGGCCTTGTGGTTAAGGTGAAACCACCTGCTTTTAGGAGATTCTTTTTTAAATGTCAAATTTAAAGTTTTAACAACTTGAAACTATTTTGTCTTCAATCTCCTTAAGGAAGTTGCTCTTAAGGTCAAAGTTGATATTACATGCCTCCAGCTGTTGTCTTCAACTTTGTTAGCAATATGGACTGTCTTCCATTTACATTACAATGCCCTAGTTAAGGAACAGTGCTAGGATCTTGATTGACAGACTCAACTAGAAATATAAGGGCCAATCCAAATCCAAATTCAAATTCAGGTCGAGGATCACGGAATTTTTTTTTTCTTCTACGATGGATCTCAGCATACAAAGGCCAAATTGAGCAAGAATATGACTCAAATGTTTTGAGAGGGTTCATTTAAAGCCTAAGCCATCTATTGCTCACATAGATAATCTTCGTGGTAATATATTATTTGAAAGTCACTGCCCACAGGTTAAGGCTGTACTTGTTGCTTTTTGGGTTAGTGTTCATATAGCTATAACTTCCTTGTGTACCTTCTCCTCCGTCATTCTTCAAGGGGCTTATCATTTTCATTTAGAAATGTCATGCAGCAACAAGAAAAAGTAGATGCTTCTAAATGTCTATTATTAGAAAGCATGCAGTCTCTCCATGCACAGAAACATACAATGGTGAGATGAGAAGAAAAAACTTACTTTCTGAGGGATTCACAATAGAAGAAGATGTGTTGCACGGGCCATCAGCCACCCAGTCGTATGATTTGATATGCATTGTCCCAAAGAGAAGCTTGCTGAAAACAGTCATTCCAGGATGATTATGGAGAGGAAGGACACCTGATGGTGGCAAGCAGAAGATCCCCATCTGCAGTAATTAGAAAGATCAAGGCCTCAACCAAAAAGAAAAGAATAAATAATACTCTTCTCCCACAAATATGCCTGAAAGGACCTCCAATGAAACCACTTACAGAAAATTTGTCACATTCATGAAGATGCAAGTATGTTATAGCAGGATTTCTTCGGGCTACTGAGTTCCTGAAATGTGGCATATCTTGATTCAGGCCAAGATCCACTGGCTTGATGTTATCTGAAAAAGAGAAAGCCAGTCGCATAAGCACCAATGGTAAACAAATAGGGATACTTAAGAAAGAAATAAAAAATAAAAAAAGGGACATAAAGTTCAAGTCAGTACGCAGAAGAAGCAGCATCCACTATGGGGCATTTCTATTTGTGGAACAATGTTCATGTCAGACTATAGTACTACTTTTAAATGACATTTCTTCTCAACGCTACAAGAAAAACACCTAAATTACACTTTGAAGATGATTAAAGTGAAGCTATCCATTGTCTGCTTATGTTTTGTCAAAGCCTTTGATCAACTTTTCTAGAGATTATAACTTAAAATTACCACCCACAAACCCAGCAATAAAAGGTACAATGCCAATGTCATTCCTACCATAAGAAACACATGTTACTAGTTGCTAAATATTTTTATTTCAAAGCATATGAAAGTACATTAATTTGCATGTATAGACTCTACAGCCGCAAAACAGAAATGCATGCACCGTATAAAAAGGAATAAAACATAATAAAATACACCAGCACAAACTCCAACCATACAAAAACCTTATAATATCAATGTCCAAAAGACAGTACACACTGCTACAAAATCATGAAATGATGTCAGTTCAAACACAATCTCAAAAAACATTAGAATTAAAACAAGATTTTGAACCAGGATTCATAAATGCATCACGTAAAAACAAAAACTTCAATCAAATTTGATCACAACACCTTCACATTGCAATCAAAGTTTCAAATTCTAGCAAAGAATCCCGCAGCACACACACTGAAAAAAACAAATAAAACCAGTCAAAACACACAACATTAACATACCCAAAACTGAACGTAGCCGTTCGATTTTCTCGGGAGAGGGAACAACCCCGGCCCCACCAAAGGCAAACACATCCTTGCAAGTGTCGTAAAGCTTCTGAACCGGCAACAACATCTTCTTATGCCGTCGCCGGTTCTTCTTTGACTGGTTATTCTTATTCGTGCTCGTAATTGATTTCGAATTGGCGTTGCTGTTCTTATTCGAATTCTCAGTAACCGAGGGCAATTCACTAAACTCTTTCCCTTTCAAATCAACCAAGTTCGTCTCAATACCCATTCAAAAAAACACAACCTTTAATTCCTTCCAAAACAGAGGACTCAACACAGACCCAACAAAACACCCCTCCAACTCGAGATGGGTATTTCATAAACCTCTTAAACACGTCAAAACTCGATCTGGGTATCACCCAAAACAAGAAATTTAACCGCCCCAAGGACGAACACACAGAAACAGAGGAAAAAAAGCAGAGCAACAGTAGGTAAAAAACACTGTTTTTTATGGTTCTTTTTGGTGTCACAGAGATTTGAAAGCGAAAACCACCTCTGTGGATGATTGCGATGATGAAGGAGCAGGAATGAGAAGAAGAGGGTATATAAAAGGGAGGGTTTGGTTTTGGTCTTAGGGTTAAAGGTGAAAGAGAAATAGAGTTGAGAGAGTGAAAACCAGGGGCCATAGTTTGGTTGAATCTATGGGCTACCAAAAAAAAAAAAAAAAATTATATATTTCAATTTTCTTTTTTCCTCTTGTTTTTTACTATTTTTGCCCTTCCCTTCTGCTTTTATGACAATCCCTAATCCAAGTTAATTATAATTTTTTCATTAAATTTACTACTAATATTTGCTTCCATTTTAGGGTCATAATTCATAAAGCAAGATTTTTTACTTTGCTTTATAAAGCCTTTTTTTGTGCAAAACTCTATATATTACCTTTAATCACTAACATAATTGAATTGATGACGTGATACAATAAATTCACTTGAATTGTATTACGTGGAATCCACTTGTTAATTTTGAATCAGAATCAAGATTCGATTTAATAATATTCATGAAATTAAAATGAACAAATATTGTAAAATCTTTTTATACTTACTAGATAAGTTTTGATTAATGAATAATTTATATAATTTCTAATGAATTGAAACGAGATTTTTATAATATTCAAAGTGTTTTTTTTTGTTTTATAATTTTTTTATTTAAGATAATTAACTTTGTTTAAAAAAATGGTTTTTATTTGAAGATGGTTTCTATTAAAACCCTGGATTTGTTAATTCAAAGAAAACTACTATTTTATTACTATATTTATTATGGTAAAAACAGAAAGATTATATATATATATATATATATATATATTTTTTGTCTTCTGGTTTTCCAAAACAAGTGAGCTGATTTGCTTTCATGCATGATAATTGCAAGTCAGCCCTCCAATTATGGAAATATTCCAACTTAGGGGTGTATTATGGAAACTTTTACAATTTAGGTAATGACTTCAAGAGTTGGATATTCCTTTTATACTATATTATTATTATATAAAGTTTTTAGTTATCACTTTGACTTGCTAACTCAATAATAGATAACCTGTAAATAAATAAATAAATATATATATATATATATTATAAAATGTTTTTCATATTTTATTGATTTAATCTAAGCAAAAAAAAAAAAAGAAAGCTAAATTTAAGAGTTAAATATATCTTTTTCTTGCATTATCTTTTAATTGTTTATTTGAGTTAATTTCTTAATTGAGAGATAATTATAATTAATTTTTTGTGAAATTTAATTGATGAGACAAATGATAATTAAAAGCAAAATTCATTTATTTCTTTATATTTTTAATTATTTGGCAGTTTTGACATGAAAGATAGTATAAAATTCTCCCCAAAATTAATTCATGCTAAAATTGGTAATTTTTATAATAAATCTCTATTCAATTTTTTCTTTTTCTTTTTTAGCATGATAGTGTAGAATTAGTTTTTTTATTTCCTAATTTAAACAGTAATTAAATAAATTATAAATAAAACACATCAAATTATGTATATATACAACGATTAAATGTAAATTAAAAGACGATTTACTATATATTTTTATCTTCAATTTATTATATAACCTATTTAAAACACCTGGAGAGAGAGAATGGATTCAAATTTGTTAAAAATCTTCTCAAAAATTAGAAACCCATCTCGAAATTTCCCAAAAATATCCTGCAAAAAACAAAAACAAAATCTAAACTAAATTAAATCATATTATAAATATGAAATTCTAATCAATTATCCAAAGTTCAAACCATTTATGGCATATGGTTTAAATTCTCTAAATAAATTTAGAATAAATTATGAGTTTAATATATAAATAAATTATCTTATTAAGTTTTTAATTGACTCGAAAGATCAAAGTTAAAACATTTTTATTTATCTTTCAACTATACGTAGAATTATTAAGTTTTTAATTCAAAAATCAACTATACACATGAAAATCAAACATTTCTTACCAAACTTTGCATCCGTCGAATGGCATTGAGATTTTTGCAAAATGAACTCAAGGTTTCTTCGATTAATCTTTGCAAACATAGTAAATAAAATAGTTTATACAAATTAAGTTCTTTCATCAGTTCTAAGACGATTGAGATAATGAACGTTAAGATTCTCTTCATCTATATACATATATATAAAATAAAAAAAAGTAAAGAAAAACAAAAACAAAAATTCACACGAAACGATCCGACACGTGGAGACCATGCCGAATAAAACATAATTTGACATAGCGAATGTGTTTTAACGTTAATAAAAAATAGTTTACGTATTTATATGTTATTTTAATGAATATAGAGTGATTCATTTATATATAATTAAAAGTAAAAGCACCATTTGCAAATAATAAAACGACTTTTTCCTTGACCATAAAAAACAAAAACCATAATTAACTTAATCAAAAAGAAGGATAATCTGGGAAAATCAGAAGAAAAACCCTAGTCCGGCTTTGAATAAGAATAGTAAATAATTAATTAATTAATGGTTTTTGTGAGAAAATTTTTCCTTTTCGGCATGCAAAAAGGAAGGTTGGACTCATGCAACTAAGCACACATTAATCTTGTTTAATTAAAAACAATTAGTAACGTAAACTTTGGCCAAGAGAAAATTAACAAAGGGCCAAAGTGGTTGGTGGAACAAACCTAATTGTTTTTATTCTAAAAAGATTGAAATTTCTTTGTTTTCTGTGTTTTCTGCCTGGTTTAATTGCTTTTCATCTCAGAAAATACGCAGATTCATGAAGTTGCAAGGAGTGATTATTTTGTTTTCTTTGTTTTTTGTTTTTTTTCTCTGCTCAATCAAAAACTTTGTGCTAATCCCCCTCACGATAATCATATGCATGAGGCTTCCAGGAAAGGTCAGGGTGGCAATGATTCATACTTGTTCATATATAAGTATGAGAAAAGACTATAATACCCTTTTCGATAATGTTATTGAGTTGATACAATAATCTTTTTAGATACCCTAAAATAATTAGCATCTTAGAAGTTTTCGATAATGTTATTATGTAATACTGTTCGACACTAATTTTGGCAACGTGGTAGGACGGTAGACTGACATATGTGTTGCATCGAAAAATTATGATTCTCTTGTTGTGAGAGATCAAGATTCAAGACTTCATAAAATTTGTAAGAATTTAATAAATATTTTCTTAAAATAAATCATAATTCTTGATTTATTTTAAGAAACTGTTTATTATTCTAAGTATGAATGTGAAACGAATTTCCTAGTTGCTTGAGTTACTATTACAAGATATTTATCATAGATCATATAGATGACTTTTGTTCAATTTTTGTTGAAATTTCAATGAAGAAAAATTTGGAAAATTATGGAATAATTTGAGGTGACATTTCTGGAATCTCTAAACAAATGAGCTGTCCTTAATTAATTAATTAATTAAAATAGTATAATAGTATATCTAGCCGTCACCGGGTAATCTGATAGTAAAAGAATAAAAAAAGTTTTATGAGTTCTTGAGTTTGAGTCTCTCTATACACTAATAAGGATGATCACTAAGACTCTTACCCAACCTGTAATTCCAGAGTCTCGAGAGAGCAATTCTAGAATCTCAGAGGATTAGTTGAACTTACAAAAACACTAATAGGGATCCATATTGAGGCTCTTACCTGGCCTGTAGTTCCGAAACCCTAGAGGATAGTTGAAATACATACAAACTGACCCATACACCAGCGGTAATTAAAAAAAAAAAAATATATAAGATAATTAATTTATAAGTTTATAATAATTATAATTAGTCAATAAAAAATTGTAACATCCCAATAATGGGTTGAATAAATAAGGATTATTTGTTAAGCAAGCTTGACATTGAATTAGTCATATAAGCATGGCTGCCTGTTGCGTCTAATTGATAAAGATTAGTTGATTGATAAGACCTTTTCCTATTAATTATCTTTTATTTTCAAACATATTTACCGTGTATTTTTAGATGTATAAATGTACATTGTACTATACTTTATATTAAATTACGTGATGTATACGAATGTTTCAGTATAATTAAAGAATGACGAGGTGGTTGTATTGTATTTGTGTGTGACTGGGTATAGCCAACTTTGATAATGTAAGCATGACCAAATCCATACCTTTTCTCTCATAATAATAATAATCTGAAAATTCAAGTGAAGACTGAAGACCAGGTCTGTCCCTCTGGCTGCCCATATTTATCTCTAGAAGGTGCTAACCCACTGTAGCGTTGTTCTTTCACTTTCATACTGTATAAATTTGCTTTGGATTTCGCCATGATATTCTTCTATCCTTGACCAACTAAAAATCCTACCTTTAACCATTTCTTAAAAATCCAACCTTCTTGACCAACTATTTCCTTATATATATATATACAATAATGCTACGGACACCAAAAAAATTATACTGAAATCGTGTACCGGCTTACGTGTAACACGTCTCTTATTTTTTTTATAATTTTTTTCTAGTGAACGGCCGTCCATCAAATTTGGACGGCCATTCACTCACATGGACGCCCATATGGACGGGCGTCCATATAGAAGGGACGGGCGTCCCTATTTAAAGGACGTCCGTCCATAAATAAATTTTGAAAATAAAAAAAGAAAAACTTTGGGGACGGCCGTCCATAAATTATGGACGGCCGTCCCTTACATTTGGACGGGCGTTCATTCCTAATGGACGCCCGTCCATACTTAAAAAAAAAAAAAGAATGTTTGGACGGGCGTCCATTTCCGTCCATTATTTTAGTTTCTACAAATTAAAGAAAAACTTTGGATGGGACGGGCGTCCGTAAGGAATGGACGCCCGTCCATTACTTATGTTTTTGTGAAATTTTTCCAGTGATAGCAATCTCATGCAGTATCTCCTGCACATCATCAACCAACTTTTTGACGTCCTCCGACCAGTATAGTACGTTTGCATCCTGGTTGAAATTCTGTAGCTTATCCTTATTCTCTTCATCGCTGCTGACTTCCCCAAAAATCTTAAACTTTTGCCTCCCCCGAAAAAACATAGTGAATGAAGACGAAGAAGTAGACGAGCGAAGTTCTGCACCTTCTTCACTTGCCTCCATGGAAACTTTATTGCATCCATTTTGATTTAACATGTTAGATTTTCAAACATATTGACTTAGACTTTCAAACACATTGCCAGTATAGTACAGTTCA